TTTTCTGTTTTGTATTTCTTAGTCTTCTTCACTTCATACGTTACTCATCGGGTTTTCTGTTTTGTATTTCTTAGTCTTCTTCACATCATACGTTACTCATCAGGTTTACTGTTTTGTATTTCTTAGTCTTCTTCACTTCATACGTTACTCATCAGGTTTACTGTTTTGTATTTCTTAGTCTTCTTCACATTATACGTTACTCATCAGGTTTACTGTTTTGTATTTCTTAGTCTTCTTCACTTCATACGTTACTCATCAGGTTTACTGTTTTGTATTTCTTAGTCTTCTTCACATCATACGTTACTCATCAGGTTTACTGTTTAGGTGGATACTCCCACACAGAGTTAAAGTCCCTCAACTTGTACATTGTTAAACAACAAAGGTTTATGTAATTACAATGAAGAAACAAAACTTATACATCATTTCAGCACTCAACTACAAAAATTAAACTGAAAATTGCATGACAATTTCTTTCCAACGAACATTTACACAGAACAGTATATTTTTATTTTCTTGTTATTTTAATCTAATAAACTTACAAAAGAAAGAAATTTAAGGTATAATAAAACTGTTAAACTATTTCATCTTTCTTTACCTAATGTATAATACACACACAAAGCTTCTTTAACTTTGGTTCAATAATGCATAAAGTAAATTATAGCCGAAGTTCCTCCCTTCACGTTACTACCTTCAATTGCAGGGCCTTGGGTGACACATGTTATTTACTCGAAGAATCCTTACCTGGTTGTTTCAACGGTAACCTGGGAGCTGCGATTCCCTGTATTGTCTAGTTCCGAATCAGCAGTGCTGGTAAGACATCCACCAGGGGACAAGGACTGACCTTCAACTGAGGGAATGATCGTACTTGACGGAACAGCGGCTCCCGCCTGTTTGTTGGAGCTAACCGGGGAATATGGAGATTTAGACTCTCGAACGCCAGATTCTGGGGATGACGAGACGACTGGAGACAGTGATTGGCTGGCCACTAAGGGTGAGAGAAACAGACAGGTCGTTAGGCAAAATGACAGATGTCTAGGAGCTAATAGTTTAGTAGAACAACACCTACGTGACAAAAAACACTAAACCTGCTACTCTTCTACGGTCACTAACACAAAGGAAAGGTAAAGAATCATTACCAAACACATCAATTGTAGTTCACATTTCCCTGCACCAACACATAGTACATTTCGTCATTTTTTGAAGCACACACATATACCGTGTTAAGCCTATGGTCAAGCTAAGCAAGTTAACAGGGTGGAAAATGGAGCTTGATTAACATTAGCTACTGACATGAAATGTCCAGCTCGCGGTGCCATCAACATCTTATAAAAGGACCGAAAGAGTCATATACAAACTCGTACGGTACCACCAGGGGAATTCGAGCGATGGTTGGCGCGCTTATTTGATTTAATCATTATATTACCACTGCTATATTCTCACACGAACTTCTTCATTCAATTAATACTCGGATGGACCATATGCAAATAAAATTACACGCAACACATGCTAATCACGGCCCAAACGCGCAGGGCACGTGACGACAATGCCCTATCACAATAACGTGTGTCGACGTTGAAGGATTTGGAAGGCGCCACGACTCTTTCAGTTACCAGCGGTAAAAACCTAGAAATCGCGAGGTCTTATAAAGAACAAACACAGACGTACAACCGGCGAGTACAATGTCAGCTGGAGCAAACTCCGTTTTGTGACAGCTATGAAAGACACCGTGGTTTTCTGCACTGTTCTTCACTTAGTCTAATAAAAAAGACACGCATTCGCTAATGATATCGACATCTGAAAGGAACTAAAACCAGAAAGATCTTCATTCTGATGATACTGTTATCAGATATCTAAGTTAAAAAGGTTTTCATCTCTGATGATACTGTCATCGAGATATCCGAGTTAAACAGGTTTTAATGTCTGATGATATTGACATCGAGATATCTGAGTTAAACAGGTTTTCATGTCTGATAATACTGTCATCAGATATTTGAGTTAAACAGCTTTTCATGTCTGATGATACTGTTATCGAGATATCCGAGTTAAACATGTTTTCATGTCTGATGATACTGGCATCGAGACATCGGAGTTAAATAGGTTTTCATGTCTGATGATACTGGCATCGAGATATCCGAGTTAAACAGGTTTTAATGTCTGATGATACTGTCATCGAGATATCTGAGTTAAATAGGTTTTCATGTTTGATGATACTGTCATCGAAATATACGAGTTAAAAAGGTTTTCATGCCTGATGATACTGTCATCGAGATATCCGAGTTAAACAGGTTTTAATGTCTGATGATACTGTCATCAAGATATCTGAGTTAAACAGGTTTTCATGAAGATGTATATCTATTTCATTCAGATGTCTGATGATACTAACTGTTCCAGATTTTTATCGCAAACAGAATTATTCGGATCTTTTTTCTTTTTTTTTGCATTCGACACTTAACGACTTCAACAATCATTCTGACTTTTAAAAATCCTGAAACCGCGCCTTATTTTATGCGTTCGATTGTTAGAACTGAACTTGGAAGAACAAATGTCCCACTATCTTTACTATGTTCCGAGATTTTATATCATGTAACACTGGGATGGATGCAATTAAAACAACAGGGAATCCTTAATAGCCGTGGCACTTGGAATTCTTTCAGGCAGGATTAGAGTATATTAATCTATGAGACCTTGGACGTGGTTAAATATATCAATCGAAAGGGATTGACCTCCAAAACTGTAATTAGATCTCAAATCGGTCAAGAGATGACGGAGCTATGAGCTAAAAGTTTGTACTTGAAATAAACAAC